AATAGTTACTTGTAAAGGGAAACAGTTTATTAATTAAGGCCGGTAACGAATTCAACATGAGACAATTAAAAAAACTATAAATATAAATGAAAAACGAACAACATTTGTTTCCGCTGACAGAGGGATGGGCAATTTTGAAACGGTTCCTTAGCGAAGGTCTATATTTACTTTTCTGCTTTGCTGGATCTTTTATACGATTCCCATACTTTTCTGTTTTCGCTCGAAGACCCTTGCAGGTAATATGGAACGTTGTTTTGGACAGCGTTATTTAATGGTTCATAAAATGGCACATTTCATTGACGTAAGTCTGGCTATTTGGCTAGCTTGCTTTACTATATTGCCGAACAGATTCCTGTGATTGGTGTCGTACATACTCTGTTTATTATTGACATGTCTACTTTTCCATGAAATCCACATCATCTCATTTCTTCAAAAATTGTTATCAACTTGATAATATTTGTTCGAACGAGCAATTGAACATATACTAAAAGAGTTTACTTTTTATGTAGGTTTTGTTTTTCTTATTTCTGTTATTTCTTATTTCTATCCGACAAAACAGTTCTTGGAAGAGATATTTTTCGATATCAAATAGCCTATGTCCATAATAACACTGTCTAAAAACATACTATTTTTCTCATATTATTTAAACGAAATGAAGTATTTATTCGCAAGCAAACGCGGTAAGAAATGATATTATTATACAAGGTGTCAAGAACACGTGTTGCACTAGACTCTGCCACGCAAATATTAAAATAAATTGAAGTTAACTAATGTCCTAAATTAAAATTATATAATTTGTCAAATAAGCAATGTCATATAAAATTAAGTAAAAATGCCAATAAATAGTAACAGCAATAAAACCGTAAATTAAACAATATCAAAGAAGTAAGAACAGCACAAACATAAATAAAATGTCAAATACAAAACAAAATGTCAATTTCATTTTATTATTAAAAAATCTTTGATATCGTATAAGTATAGATCACATAGCAAATCAAATAACTTTTTTTAAATATTTTTACAGGTAAATTTGCGATAGCTGCAGGCAAAGTATTATATATTTGTATGGACATTATAGCAATCCCTATAAAAGCAAGTAGTCTTATGGGAGGGGCCAGCTATGCGGTTTGGATATCTAGTTAAAAAATTACATACTTCACATTTCCTAGTAAATAAGACCAAGTTTTTTTTTAACAAACATACATACCTCATATGCGTACATGGCGGGAAGCGTTAGAAGATTTAGCTTTCTAAAAAACGGTCTATAAGATTCGAGCGGATCTACTCTACATATAGCTCTGACACATTTTTCTGGATAGCAAATACTCGGTTTAGCTGTATGCAGTTCCCCCAGATGATGAGGCCATACCGCAAGCTTGAGCAGACAAATGCATGGTAGGCCATCAAGGCAGTCCTCTGATCACATATGTGCGTTAGACGATGTAAACCAAATACAAATCGATCCAGTTTTGCACATATTGAATCAACCTGTGCTTTCCATGTCAGTTGAGAGTCCAATACTATGCCGAGAAAATTGCTGGATGAGCATTCCACAATTTCATCTCCATGACAACTTACAGAAATTTTCTGGGGCTTTCCATTATAATTATAAAATTGTATGAGCTTTGTTTTTGAAGCATTTACTTTCAGATTATTTCTCTTAAGCCAGTCAATAATATTACATATAGTGTCATTTATTTCTTTTTCATAATCTATGCCAGAATTCTTATTAATAATGATTGATATGTCATCTGCAATAGTGCATGGATATTTTGTTATTTCAATGAGGTCAACAGCAATGGACCTAAAATACTTCCTTGAGGCACACCGTATTTATTAACTTTAAACTCTGATCTGTGGGTCTCAATCTCATTATTATTATTTAACTTCACTACCTCTACACACTGAGTTTTGTTGCTAAGGTAACTTGCTATCCAGTTATGCACCTGGCCACGAAAACCGTATCTTTCTAATTTGGATAGTAGGGTTCTATGCCAAACGCAATCGAAAGCTCTACTCATGTTAAATAAAACAGAACAGACAGGTACTTTCTTATCTGCAAAAGTTGAGATATCTTTAATTACCCTGAAACATGCCTGTGTGGTAGATTTTCCCTTTTGAAATCCAAATTGCTCTACTTTAATAATGTTGTACTTTGATAGGAAAGCCGTAATTCTTTTATGCATTACCTTTTCAAAAAGCTTTGATATTACAGATATAAGTGCAATAGGTCTATAGTTTTCCAAATGGTCTTATGGCATTCATCAACACGTTGCGCGGCGCTGAGTGGACGTGTTGATGAATGCCATAGTCTAATATGAAAGATATTTGTGATACGGTGTATACGTTACATATTTTTGGTTGTAAAAGTATTCTTAAATTTTCTAATAAAACATAATATAAAATTATATCTCACATTTTCATTGTGAGTTCTCAAATAAGGCCGAGAGCAAGTAAAGGTTTGTTCACACACGTAGTTTAAGAAGATATTTTATAATATATTTTGCTTTTCTAGTCATCGGATAGCGTCGATATTAACACTTCACTACACTTGTAGTGTAGGTATTATTTTGTAAAGGCGCAGATGTAATTAAGAAGTGGTGATGTACAAGGTGACAGGGTGGATCGTTGTAGAACGTGCAAAAATGTCCAACCAATAATACCGATACTTAATACGAAGTTGGTGATAAAGGATGATTATTATACATCATTCATTGAAATCAAAACAGCGTGGATCTAAACTATCTATTTCAAATATATTTCTTAAATGTCGATGGGAATCATGTTATATGGATCCTTGCCATTGCTTTCCTAATATTTTTACTTTTTTTATGATATTATATGACGGGATGAACAAGTCGTGCAGTTGCAGCGTCACAGAAAGTTTTGTTCGCAAAGAACCGAGAGCACTGCTATTGCGGCCTCACCCTGAGACATAAAGTTAACAAGTCCTATATGCCTGTAGCTTCACCAGCACCCTTCAAAACCAGAACGCAGCAATTATTGCTTGCTGGCAGAAATAGGTCGAACTCTTTCACAAGAAGCTCAATTGTTGCCAAAATTTGCATTATACTTGGATTACTGCTCAATTTTGTTTCTTTGAGTTAATTTTTAATTTAAACTGGATGTGTTCTACGTGTGTATCCGTATGCACGTGCGCGTCGATGTGTGCGTGTGTGATTGTATCTCGTTTTATTTTTATTACAAATATATTGAAGCCGGTCGGAGTTCTTATATTTTATGGGTGAAGAATAAGTGAATAATGTTATACCTTTTGAATCAACGATGTTGTAGAGGTCGGAATAGGATTAGGCGAAAGTCATAACTGTGCATCTATTTTTATGACAACTGTTAATTTGAAAAGAAATGTTACGTAGTACAATTCTCTGTGTGCATGTACCACACTTTTGTTAGAAACATTATTTCAGCTACTAAGTTGTCCATTAATTTCATCAAGTTCTTATTTTGTTTTTTTGTACGCCTATTTCTTCGCATGAATAATAGAAACACTTAAAACCTTGTGTAACGTCAACTAGTTTCGTGTTTCACGTGTCGTCCAACGATATAAATATACTAGTTTATGTTACAGTTCTTGTCTGCTACACGTTAACATAACTAAGGAAACAAACTGTAGCTATAAGGAAAGTAGTAAACTTTGTCTAGTTCGCAACATGATCCATTGCACTTGATTTACACATCGGTTTATGGCGATCGCCATGGCCCGATCGACAGCCCAGTCACGAACTTCGCGTCGGCTCGACTACCGTTCGGAATCCTCACTTATTAGTATGTTTATGGCGGTGATTGATAGACGAGAAACTTTTCCAATGTAACTACAGGTTTCTCTCAGAAATTGTACGCGTAAAAGCGCACATATCATAATATGATAAACAACAAACATAAAGTCGAAAAAAGAAAAACTACAATTTATAAATGTTTTGTTTCATCTTTGTTCTGTTTTTGTAACTGTTTTAAGCGAATAACAAAACTTTGTATATAAACAGATCGAAAGAATATGAAAATTTCGACCAGCTACGTCAACAATTTTTACTTTTGCGCCCTGTCCTGTTTAGTTAAAACTCCCTCCTCCGCTTCCGCAGCCTCCGTGGCCGAACGGTTGCCATGCAGAGGTCCTGGTTTATTTGTGGTTGTCTATATGTGTATCCATGGCACCCGTGACACATGGTTTTCCAAGTACGGGGCTATGTTGAGTGTGTGCGTCATTATTATTATTATTATTTTTAAAAGAGGTACAAGTCACGAGGACGATCAGTGGCCAGGAAAAAAATATTCCAATAATATCAGTACAGAGTACTAAAACAACCAACCTCAAAAGTACGTGGAATTACATCCATTTGCCAAGTTTTATTGAAATCGGTTACCGGAAAGTGCGCAAACCCGGATTCATCCCCTAGTCCGCCACTATACGAAACTTGACACAGGAGATTAAAAAATCGGTTCTCACTACTCAAAGTATGTTCAGAGAGAAAAACGCCTTGAATTGGAGAATAGCAAAATCAAGCATTCAAATAATTGCTCCTTTTAATAAAATTTAGGCGCTATTTATGAAAATTAATCTTCATGCGGAAACAGCTACCCTTAGAGGTAGATGATTTTCTTCAAAATTAAATGGGTCCACTATGGAGGTACCCTCTTTCTAACAAAAAAAGAATCGAGTTCTTAGGTTTTCGCGATTGTTACACATAGGAAATGAAACTATTTTTCCGGATTTAAATCGCGTATATTTGTTTTTTCAAACAAAGCGTAACCGTAAAAACAAATATGCGCGATTTGAATCCGGAAAACTAGTTTCATTTCCTAAAAAAAGAATCATCAAAATCGGTTCTCAAATACCGGAGATATCGCGTAACATACGTACAAAAAAAACATACAGTCGAATATAGAACCTCCTCAATTTTTTGAACTCGGTTAAAAAGGCATGGATGAAATACGGCACAGTTCTTTCATGTTTTAAGAGGAGCATATTTGTAGGTACTTACGTGATAGTGGGTGGAGGGCTGGCGTGCACCAGACATGGCAACAGCACGTCTCCGCCGCGGCGAACGGAGCCCTCCCACGGGCCATGCGTGATAGCGCGAGGCGCAGACGCTGTGTTTGCCGCTGCAACACACGTTTGGGTTAGATGTGACGTCAGAACCACATTTCAGATGATTACTTGATGAAGATAGATAACTTATTTCCTCTTTATTTAGAGAAATTTGCTCACAAGTAAAAGACCCAATGGAACATCGTGTACGGTAGTGCCAGTAGTCTAGCCTTGATCTGAACATTTTTTGGCCCATTTAGCATACAGACGTAAAAGGTGTTAATTATTGCTAATACAGCGGATATCATAGTTAAGTAGTTGGAGTTTTGTAGGTAGGTGTTATACTTACGCGCTATATCAATGTGCGCGGGCGCGCTGCGACGGCGTTCGCCGGTTAGCGAGTCGAGCACTGAGCACGAAAACTGCGCGCGCGCGTCCTCCGCGCGCACGGAACGCACGATCAGCTTCCAGCCCTCGTCCATGAGCAGGGTTGAGCCAGCTGGATCATACCGACACACAGTTAGCCACACATAATTAGGTCATAAACTAACACGAATCTATCCCGACTCCTGCCAGCTGAAACTGTAATGAGAGTCCTTGAACAAAAGTACCCAAGGACTCTGCACAGATTCCTGGCTGGGGTGGGATATTGTAGTAGATTATACGTAAAATACTCACAGAGGTGATCAGTGGCCGGCAGAACTGTGTCGTCTCTGTACCACGCAGCAACTGAAGCGTGCTCGCGGAACGACGTGGGCACAACGCATGTGAGCAGCGCTGGCCCACCTGTCTCGGCCGACGATGTCGATACACGCGCCTCCCACTCCTGCCATATCACTGCCAACAAAAATTCTATCTTTGGTCATTGTTCTTAGTAAATACCTCATTATTATTCAACAAACAAATAATGTATGTCTCTTGAAATTCCCAATTACGCTATTCTCTAATAGTTTTTTGTCCGTAAAAAAATACAAAACTGGGTAGTCAAATAATGTTGCGGTAATGTGATGACCATTTACAATTACTGTCTTAAATCTCTGTCAACTTGGTTAGAGTGGAGCGGAAATGAGACCAGGACAAGTAGCTAGAAAAGCGAATATATTCGTGACATGGTGAAGTGAACTAATGCACGGATGATACAGAAGGTGAGTTGTTTAGCTATCTCTGTTACCAAGATACAAGCAGATGTTATACAACAAAATGGAACTTTCGACAATTATTATCAAAGCCATGGATCCTAACAACAATTTGAACCGGTAGATATTTTTTCGGCGTACTTTTATGTAATAAAGTATAACCAAGTTGAGGAACAGGACTTTGGTGAGACACCTGATTCGTGTGAGTAAATAGTTCCTGAATTGCTCATAACATATTTAGTTGAATTGCGGCAACATGGTGACGGGACGCCGATATCCGACCTGAATTAAAATGTAACTCTGGCGGTTACTTGTTATGCGTGATGGAGGAACGAAACGTATTCGCGAAGAAACTGGATATATAATCAATTTATTTACAAATTGAGCAACACGTATATTGTGCGTAATTGAGGTCACGCGTGCTTCACAGCCTCTTAACTGTGAAGTTGGAATATTGCTCAGATCCCCTACAAAAATATTACATATTTGGGATCAGTGAGACGACAAAAAAGCCACTCTAAATTAGTCTTCACTGAAACAATCACGCTGTTCATCTTAATGAGTTTGTCTGGTAATTCTTTTTAATTTATCTACACGAGTATTAATCAAGTGTTATGTTTCCGGAGTGCAAAGTTCGTCAAATATTTATCCCAATTTTACTACGTGGACAGTGTCTTGACTTGAAAAGTAAGAGATCATTGTAACGTAAAAAATTACAGGTGTAAATTAAGTTGAAAATATTTTTAAAACACTGGCATTACTATGATTATATAATATCCCTCTACCAGAGTATACTTATATTACATACAAACTTTCCATGCTCCCCAATCCCACGTCCACTATAGTACAACACAATTGCAGAACAGCACCTTTCTTCTTCTTCATCTTAGTGGAATATATTTCCGTCACTCACAATAGTGGGGATGCACGTACTGCCAATTAAGGATGTGTTTGGATGATAGTCAAAACAACTTCTGTTGTCCGTATTATTACTATCTTGTTACGCAAGGCGATCGTAAGGGAATCGCCGAATAAGCGGCGACCTGTAAACATAGTTATTGCACGAGAGATCATCGTCGCTTCGCGCTTGCTCGCTGCACGGGGTGCAGCGTCAGCCCCGTACTCGAAGACAACGTGACCGCACTGACGTTGCGGGAATAGCTCTTTGTGCAAAATGACTAACACCACTAATTGGACGGACTTTTCTAACAATGTAGTAGTTAAGAGTGTTAGTCTAGTAGTATAATTGCGAGACAAAAATTTCAAACTCCAGCTCTATCACAAGTTTTTACCAGAGCCATGTAAGGCAGACGTGTGTTGTGAGCGACACGCTAACTAACCAACCGCCCGCGGGCGCCTGGCGTCTCTAGACGACTTCGCTTTCCTCCACATTGATGCTTGTTTATAGACGATAATATAATTTTATACAATAGCAACTGAAGTTTGTACGAATGCTGATGAATGAATGATGAGCTTTAAAACTTATTGTATTACAGAATAAGTTTCTGATAGTTAGAAAGGAGGTTGATAACTTTGTGACTGTGTCATTAGTGTTGTCTAGAGATGTATGCCTTTTGTAAAATGCGGAGTCTGACGGCGTTGATGGCGTTTTCGATCGGCGGGGGCGCGGGGGTGAAATCGGCGTGAATACATTTTTCAAGTTTTTAAAATAAAAATATAAAACTATAAACGTTCTAAATTTAAATGTTTCGTAATTAATTTGAATTGTACGGAATGTACTGAAAATATAAAAAAACAGACAATTTTTCGCCACGTCAACTTTATGTCGGTCGGTCAAGTTTATCTGCGGCAGCGGCAGCTATTGTTAATACATCGATCGACGGGACGTACATAATTATGAAAGAATTTTATTAAATTGTCAAATAGTTAATCAGTTTGGGTGTAATTTGTGGTTGTCTATGTGTTTGTCTATGGCATCCGCGATACGGGGTTTCCCTAGTTCGGGGCTGTAAAAGAATCAATTGTATGTGTATATGTAATAATTCCCAAACTAACATAGGGCCGGCGTGGTGGACTATAACTTTAGCCATCTTTCTCAAGAAGACCCGTACCCGACATTGAGCGGGGTTCAAATCAAATGGTTGCTGGCAGAGAAGTCAATTTCGTGCCTTGGATTATTCAGGATTTGCGTCCAAATTCATGTCAAGCCATTTGTTTGTTGTGAAAAATTGCTTCTGAGAATTTTAATCAATTTCGAACGTTTTATACCTCTATTATTTGGGATCGGGCAATTTTGTTTGAATGAAATTTAAAATGGGGGATTCCGTTTTGGGAGCAACTCTGCGGAGAAAGAGATTGTTTTATAATATGCAAGGCGACGGAATGAACAAGTGGCTGTAATTTCATCAGCACCCTTACTCTTTAAATGCAATGATGCTCACATTACTACTTGACGGCAGAAGTAGTTAAGGTGGCAGTACTTCCCTGGACGTACTCTTTTCGTAATTCATGGACAATAATGGGTATGAAGTTTTATAGAATTAAAAAGGCAGAAGGCGTCACATAGTACACTGCAAATTTTTGTTTCCTTTAAGATAAAAACATTGTTACCTATTGACCTTGGCAAACGTAGTTAACAGGCAAAAGCCAACAGAGTTATTGCAAAAAAATTTTGCTGTTCCAACTCCTAAATAAAATTTCAATTTAGAACTAAAATTGCACAATCGAAAACTAACGTCCAAACTGTTTGCGAACCATTTGTTTTGCTCACATTTTTCATTCACAGAATTAAATGTCCTTTAAAGTTTTAAGCTTTTTGACTGCCCCTAGCCAGCTTTGTTATTCAGGGCCGCATTAAGTGCCAATAGAAATTGAATTTAAATACAGTATATTTAAGATATTTCTCCGCTAATGATTTCGCCTTCATTTAATTTTGTAAGTTGAAATGGAAGACGAATGAATTATGAATATAAATTTTTCGTTTATCAAACAGTTGATTAGAACATTCAAATTTTGATGGGTCGTCATCGCTTTCAGTAGATACCTAACGTAAATATAGATTGGTATATACATATAGAGCGGCCAAGCGTTCATCTCTTTTACATTTAAAAAGACTTAAAAATTCGCAGTAACTCCTTTTCAGTTTTTAATTAATCTGTAGTTATTAATTAATGATAACGGACGTTACAGAAAGAGATCTGATCCAAATAATTACATCTATCTACTAGCGATGGGCGATTGTTATCAACTAAAAAAAATATCGAATAAATCGATAGTTGCACAATCCTATATTCGATTTAGTCGTCTCTACCGAAAAATAATAGTTACTAATTATGTAATTACTACTTAAATTTTCGGTGTCTCCTATTACTGATCTAATAACAATGAATCCTATTACTATTACGATATTTTATCAAAAACTCAAAAAGTGAAGTGTAGTAACTAATTGGTTACTACCAATTGATATCAACAAGCGAATTATTTCGATTAAGTTTGTAATCGAATATTTCGATTATTTTTAATAACTGTCGCCCATCGCTACTATCTACCAGATAACTGGTTACTGATACAAAGATGCCGAAGCCGTTTATATAATCAATATTACTGATACCACATAATTTAAGACACGGTGTTGCAATATGGACCCGTTCTCCGATAAATATCGCGATTGTTAGCTCGGAAATCCTACTACGTGTTCTGCCTATTTCATATGATTATCTATCGCATTTTTAGCAGCTAGACAACGTAAAAGAACCGTTGGGCCACATATACAATGCTAAGATAAATCAAATGTAACTATTAGATCTGATATTGGTGAAATCAGGTTTGCAATAGATAAATAAAATAATAAAATATAATAACGCATACATTCATAGCCCCACACTAGGGAAACCCTGTATCGCGGGTACCGTGGACACACACATAGGAAGACAACCACAAAGTACATCCAAATTCACGAGAGAAAAAAACGTGGGCCATACAAATATTTCTCCCTCTACGTAGCAGTCCAGCATGGTAACCGTTCGACCACAGAGGTAGTTCAGATATTTAATTCTCGTGGTTACTTGTCATGCGTGATGGAGGAACGGCATGATAATCTTAACTTTTGTAGCAGCAGAGTTCGTTGTGAAAGAGTTCGTTCATGGAAGTATTGTCACCTTACCTATTCCTGCCGTCAAGCAGTAATGTGAGTTTTTTTTTAACACTAATACCTCCAAAGGAATTCGGAGTCCTGGTCTACGTTACTCATTCATTCTAGTTCTCGCATATATTCTTCTCGCACTTTCATTCAGCATACTAAATCTTTCTTTCATTCATCATCTCTTACTCTATAACGGGTGGGTTGCCCGCCTACATCCCTAGTCTGTCTACTCTGTATGTTTGTTTGTTTCATTTATTTTACATTTCTCTGGTAAGTAAGGTACAGCACACTGTCGCTTATTCTTATTTTCTTATACTATTTTTGTACATTTGTTTACAATAAGTTACATAGTTTTAAATAATCTGCTAAGGGGTTCATTCTGGGTAGTTACATT